AGGAGTTTTCAAACAACATAAGATTCAAGACCCTCCAACTTTTTGTTCCAAATAGCAAGAGGCTCGTGGGCTACACTCAGTGAGTGCACTTTTTTCTTCGAAAAAGCGCACGTCACCAAGAAGACTTCTTCAAGACAGACCACTTCAAGGCCTCAAAAAAAACCCAGACCGAACTATATCCGAGTTCTTTTTGATAAAGAACTCGGGTATATGCTCAGGAGCCCTACACTTTTTTCTTCAAAAAAGCGCACGTCACCAAGAAGACTTCTTCAAGACAGACCACTTCAAGGCCTCACAACAAAAAAAACCCGGACCAAGCTATATCCGAGTTCTTTTTGATAAAGAACCTGGGTATATGCTCGGGAGCCCTTCGATGAAGAATCAGAGCAATTTCAAGAGAAGACCCTCTAGCTCCTTGTTCCAAATAGCAAGAGGCTCGGGGGCTACACCCAGATGGGAGTACTTTTTCTTCAAAAAATAGTACACACCACCCAAAGATCTCACGAAACGCTACACGGTTTTGCTCAAGAAAGCACTCGGACGACGCTTGTTCCTACTCGGCAAGACCTGAAGGAACGAGACGAGGCTTCCAGAGCTCAACCATGAAGTGCTCAGGGGCTTGTTGATGCGGGACCCACGGGATACCCCTCAAAGAATGGAGAAGATCTAATCTAACTAGGATTCTTTCCATGTAATCTTAATAGTAGTAGTATTCTGTAATCCTACTAGGAACTCTCATTATAAACCGACTAGGACTCTGGCGTCCTGACTACATAAAGGAGGGCGGGGTTCCTGGAGGAAAGGAGAGAGAACACTTTACCATCAATCCAACGCAAAGGCTAACGTCGACTGGACGTAGGGCTATTACTCGATCATGGTTGAGGGCCCGAACCAGGATAAATCGACTGTCTCTTGTGTTTACAGTCGAGTTCTGCATACTCCGAAGCCCGAACAAACTGCCCCGGGTACCCCTATGGCAGGTTATCGGTGGTGAAACATTGACACCCTCCCGTCCTCAGTGCCCCACCCCTCCCATCCCTACCCCTTCTTCTTCACCTCTCCTCCTAGCCCCCAGCGCCCTCCTCCCTGCCCCCAGCAGCCCTCCTCCCGCCGGCGCCGCCTCCCTCCCCTCCTCTCCCGGGCGCCCTCTTCCCCTCTGGCTGCTGCCCCTCCCATCCTCTCCCGGCCCCCTCCTCCCTTCCTCCCTCGCCGGATTCGGCCGCCGCCCCTCCCCTCCGCTCCTGGCCCCCTCCTCTCTCCCTCCCTCCCTCCTAGATTTCCCCGGATCCGGCCGTCGCGCCACCCCTCCCCTCCAGATCTGGCCCCGCCGCCTCCCACCACACCCACCCACCACGCCCACCATGCCCACCCACCACGCCCCACCGCGCTCCTCCCTGTGCCCCACCGTGCCATGGACGACGGCGGGAGGCCCTCGGTGCAGTGGCCCGACACAGCGACCCCAGGCGCGGCAGCGCTGGCATAGACGGGCCCTGGTACGGCAACCCCAGCGTGGCGACGGCGCGGATCCAGTGGCGTAGTGACCCCGACGAGGTAGGCCCTCCTCCTCCTAGATCTAGGGTTCCGGCGAGCTTTTCTCCTGTCTCTCCCAACTCCGATCCAGCATAGGGAGGACGGCGCAGGGAGGCCGACGGGACCGTGGGGAGGTGGCGCGGCTGCATCGGGCGTCGCGTGGAGGACGGCGCGGCTGCGGGGAGGCGGCATGGGTGGTGGTGGTGGTGGTGGCATGGATGGAGGCGGAGCAGGCAAAGGAGGCGGGCTTGGTGGTGGCGGTGGTGGTGCTGGTGGAGCAGGAGGTGGCCTTGGTGGTGGTAGCGGCGGCGGAGCAGGAGGTGGTGGTGGCGGCCGGTGGCTGGTGCTTGTTTTTTTTATTTTTTTAAATGTTTGCCGAGTGTTTTTGGGGCACTCGGCAAAGTCTTTGCCGAGTGCCCGACAAAAAACATTCGGCAAAACAGCGTTTGCCGTTAAACCGTTTGCCGAGTGTCGTCTGCCGAGTGTAACACTTGGCAAACGGTTTGTCGAGTGTTTTGGGAGCTTTGCCGAGTGCCATGGACACACGACAATCCTAGGCATTCTGGTAGTGTATATATAGTTTTACTATTGCAGTGGCTCTTAGTCATCCATGAAAATCCTGACACCTTGTATGTGTGGCTTTTTTGCAACAACAATAATTTTAGTTGAGTATGTAAAGGAATCTGCTGCTCTCCCATCTCTGTACGCGCGGCAGGGAAAGGCGTCAAAAGAGCTCCCCAGCTGCTGCACTGTAGTCGTGACAGGGGCAGGCGCCGAAAGGCTCCCCTGCCGCACTGTAGCCACAGCAGGGGCATGCTCTAAAGTCAGCCCTGCTGTCACATCTAGTCACTGTAGCAGCATGACAGTCTGGCATGTCTGTGTGCTATGATTAGATGGGTAGAGTTGTATATATAGCTTCGCACTACAACTCAGTAAAGTGAGCAAGTTCAGTTTTGCCATCTCCTCTGCAGAGCTTCGGCTAACACTGGTGCTTGTGCTATGTATGCACGCTCTGTTCTCCCTCCCTCTTCTACCTTCAGCCATAGTGTGTGTGCGAGAACGCCGGTAACCAGTCGGCTCATCCGATGACCGATCGGCTCACCCGTGCAGGAGATCCCAAGCCCAATAGAGTAGACTGTGGAGTCTGCTACTGTTTTGGTGGACAATTCAACACTGGAGCAGTTGCAGACTTGCATTAAGAGATGAATTCAAGAAACTTGTATTAAATGCGCTCTGCTACACATAGAACAATCGTGTTTCGCTTGCGATAGATGGAATGAAACCATAACTCTATATATAATTGAGGTTCAGGGAATGGCTACAGTACTATGTCTCTAATAACTGCTACGGTGTTGGACGGTTGGTAATGAAATATGTTTTGTTTAAGTTCAAAAGATATATCGTAATGCATTAGCGAAAGTCACTTTTCTTAATAAGTAGATGTCAGTTTTTGTTTCAGAATTCTACCTTACTGGTCTTGTTTCAAAAGTTTAATGGCGCACCATATGTGCATTTTCCTGTTCAATTGTTTCAAGAATTGATAAGAATCCATATCAGCCCGAATGGTCAAATTTTATATCCAGACTGCTGGCTACCTTGAAATTAGTGTTTAACCATCTATTTTCAATCCAGACTGCTGACTATTAGAACATTGCTGCCACAGTAAATCATATGTCGCACATATTGAATGTAACGCACATGCACATTAGAATTGATTCTTGAAAAGTCATGCTATTCCTGTATTTGTTTTTCAAGCCAAATTCGATCTGTATATGTGTAATGAACATGCCTAAGCATGCGTACCTAAAAGTTCTCTTGTGATCAGTTTGCATTTCAGTCAAATGGTTTTTCTTCTGTATATTTTATATCTTTGTTTAAAGATGTTCAGTCCTGACAACAGAATATTTTTGTTCTTGCAGGCGAATTGTCTTCAGAACTCCATTCAGATTTAGGTGAATGTCTGAAGATTCCTTGGTTAAGACAGAATATTCAAGTGAAGTGCTCATCATTAGCTGTTTTGGAAGTGTTGATACAGAGATCCTCAACCAATTGCATGATGTCCAAATTTCACTTTTATCTTGGCACTGCCAACATATTCCATAGACTGATACGAAAGTACTGTTCTGGCTTGGCAGCCGAGCAGCAAATAGCAATGTTAAAGCTGTATGAATTGATCGATTTACATTTGTATGCACGCATGTGCTGTGAAAACGTTACTCTTTGTTCTTCTCATGATTACTCTCTTCATTCCAAATTATAGGTTGTTTGGGTTTTCTAGATACATACTCTCTCTATTTTAAATTATAAGTTATTTTAGTTTTTCTAGATACATAATTTTTTCATACACATAGATATACACTATGTCTAAATACATAGTAAAAATATAAATCTAGAAACGCCAAAGTGACATACAATTTGGAGGAAAGGGAGTAATTTTCCTACGTATATAAATATAATGTATATCTAGGCGCAAGCGAACACTATGTACTTAAAAAAGAAAAAACAAATGTATAATTTGGAATGGATGGGTATATATGATATTAGTACTCTATGCGCAAATACAGAAACGATTTTCAACGGCGGACATTTTTAATCCTTCAGCTTTGAAAATAGTCGTGACCCATTTAAGTTATTGTTTCTCACCTACTATTGCCCATACTATTTTTTTTTGTGAGCATGCTTTGCCAAGTTTTTCATTAAGAGGAATAGAATTACATGACGCGGCGCGAGAGAGCTCTCATAACCCACGTTACAACCACTAAGCTAGTGCCAAGCGATTTGGAGCAGAAGGACCCATAACCCCAAAACCATACTAGCTTGATCTACAAAGGTTGTCTACAGGAGGAATCAAGCCACGGTGTGAAAGCATCTACCCAGAGAAGACAAAACGAACAGCCAGCAACAACAGCGGCGATGTATCCAGACAGGGAAGGGAAAGGGGAGCATGGGAAGGAGGAAGGAGGAAGGAGACACACGTGAGAGGGAAAGCCGGCGCATGGCAGTCGATTGACCCATGCGTAGCGAGGTGGTCTCGCTCAGAAAAAATGGACAGCGAGAATGCTAGGATACCGAGCGTGAAAAAAAATACGAGATACAAAGACTGTTGGACTGTTTTTGTTTTACCGTAATCGCTAAGTCAGGCTTCACAGATGCATTTAGCCATGCTATTGGAGTTGCTCTAAGACGACTCAAATGTTGTCTGACCTTAGGCAAGAGACTCCTAGTGTTGGATTTCATTGACTTGGGTTACTTGGGTATTATCGCTGCCTGGTCTGGCAGGCCGCAGGAACCAAAATCAACCAAACGAGTCCTTAAAATCCCGTAGACCCAGCCACTTGCAGGCACCGACCTGTTGCATCATCAGCAACTAACCAAGTCGCAACACGAAGTCTGAACTCCGAAGCCCACAGCACCGCCTTCTCCAGTTCTCCCTCCTTCCGCTGATTCGCTCCGCCCTCCGCCCTCCGCCCATGGCTGGCCGCGTCCTCCTCCGCGCCGCTGCCTTCAGCCTCGCCGCCGCGGGGGCGGGGTCCCTGCATGCCGTGTCCAAGTGGACGCCTCCCAGGGAGATCTCTCCCTTCCTCCCGTCCGTGAAGCTCATGCTCTTGGAGTCCGCGAACGGCCTCCAGTCCGCCCTTCTCCGCGCGCACCCGGTCTCCGGTGCGCACCTCCGCGACGTCCGCGCCGGCGCCGAGCTCGACCTCGCGCGAGTTGACGTGGAGATCAGCCATGGCGGCGACCCCGCCGCGGCCGCGGACCTCCGCCTCCTCCTCGCGCTCCTCGCCACGCGCGACGGTCGCGCCGACGACGCGATGCGGCTCTACGCAGAGGCGGCCCGCGACGCGCCTTTCGACCCCCGGCCCCTTGCCCTCGCGTATAACCTCTGCTTCCTCAGCGGGCGAGACGACGAGTCTGCGGCGTGGAGAGCCGCCTACCACCGCCTCGTCCCGGGCTCCAGCCAGCACCCGGGATGGGAGTCCCACGAGATGAGGGAGCTCGTCCGCGAGCTCGTGGTCGCGGCGACGCTGGGCGGCGTGCACGCGCTCGGCTACCCCGAGGATAGGTCCTTGGTCATGCGCGTGGCCAGCAGCGCTGTGGACAAGGGGCTGGTCGCTGCACTGCAGGACAAGGCGCTATCTGCGACGGAGAGGCTTCAGTTCCGATTGCTCCGCGTGTTCCTGGACACCAAGGTGCGGCGCCTCGTGAAGGAGGAGGAGCTGGCCATGGCCGCGACATTGGTGAGGAGGCATCTTCGGGTTCATCGTATGTAAACTTACACGGTTATACAGTTATACTCGTCTCATCCTCGGATCAAATGAATGAATGCGGTCGCCCAAATTTGCGTTTCCAAAGGGCAGGGTGGATTGGAATTGGATCGTTCAACCTAGTTGCACAAGGAATTTTATATGCAGGCTAGTTGTGTAACGTGTTTGATTTGTGCTTCCTGCTGGATCAATTGATCTGTCAGGCACTCCTGAGATAGCCATCATTTAATACAGCAAATCAAATCACTAATAATGCTTACTTTGGTGGTTTGTATCCTTCATTCCTTCTCGTGGAATTATTACGCATTTTCATGTGTGATTTTGAAGCTTTAGTTTGTTGATGATGATGAACTGGATTGATAATATTATGTCATTGTAAATGTTCACATGGTATTTTGTTGAAACTGAACTACATGGATAAATGCTGGCATAATTCACTACGGGATACACGAGCTTTGCCGAGTGTCAAGGGCACTCGGGAAAGCCCAAAAAACACGCGGCAAAGCGTTTGCCGAGTGTAACTGAGTGTTACACTCGACAAAGGTTTTATCGGCAAAGAGCTGTTTGTTGGGTGTCAAACGTCGGGCACTCGGCAAAGACTATGCCGAGTCAAAAAAAAACACTCGGCAAACATTTTTCGGAAAAAATAAAAAAAAACAAGTCCCGCCGCCGCCACCACCACCACGCCTCGCTGCCGCCACCACCACCACAGTCGCCGGCAACCACCACCACCACCACGCCACCACCACCACGCCCACGCTGGCCGCCGCAACCCCATCGTCGCCGGATCCGAGCCCCAGCAGGCGGATCCGACGCATGCCGCCGTCGCGGATCCGTCGCCGTGGAGCTCCCCTTGGCCCTCCTCGTCGGATCCAATGCCACCAGAGCTCGGACCACCCGTCGTGGATCCGTCGGCCTAGAGCTCGCCTTGGCCCTCCACGCTGGCGGGGGAAGAAGGGAGGGAAGGGGCGCCCGTCGAGGAAGAAGAAGGGGGAGGGGAGGGACGCCCGCCGGGGAAGAAGAAGGGGGAGGTGGAGGGGCGGGCCGCCGGCGGGGAAAGAAGGGAGGAGAGGGGGCGGGCCGTCGGCGGGGGAAGAAGGGGGGGAGGGGGTGGGCCACCTGTAACACCTCTGGTGTTTTGACCTAGCACTAAAATTTGACATGTCATCATATGCATTGCAAAGCATTCATGAAGTAGAAAATTTTGAATGCATTCACTAAATAAGCTTTATTTCATAATGTTGTTATTTCATATGATGTGTTTCAAAACCCTAAATAAAGATCATGACCACAAGGGTCAAATTTCATGTGATCACGTGAGGCCATGTGTCTTTTGACTCAAATAACCCTAATGGGCCATGTTACTGGTCAAAAAAATCGAAGTTAAAGTAAAAGAAAGACAAATCAAATTTGAATTCAAATTCAAATTCAAATTATAAAAGTCCTTTTTGCCCCTTTTGACTAATTCAAAATCCATGTGGAATTTGGGGTTGAGGCAAAAAGCAAAGTTGAAGATTATTTTATGTGGATCAACTTTGGTATTCAAAGTTTTTCAAGTTTACATATAAAATTTGGAATAATTTTGAAATGATTCAAATACTCAAATGCACCCCAAATTCAAATATCAAAATGGAGGCAGAATTTGAAAATGTTCCTTGAAGCAAAGTTGTAGAGTTTGAAAAATTGAGCAACTTTCATTTTTGGAGATTTTCAACTTTTTTAGAAAATTTATGAGTAATTTGCAAATTAAACGTAGTGGCAATTCTGTAAATAATGCAAAAATCAAAATCCAGCCGAACGCCACCTCTCTGCTTGCCACCGACGCCACGCGGATGTCGCCGCCGAGCGTTTTGCGCTGCTTTCTCGTGCGATGACATGCAGCCGGTGCCGTGGCGAGTTCGGGCGTGCGCTGTCGACGCCGGGCAACCACTTCCTAGCTATAAATAGCAGCAGCCGCTACCGTCGTCCCCGTTTTTCCCCTCTGCTCTGTTCCGCCACCAGCTAGCTCCGCCGCTCACCGTAGCCATCGTCGAGCCGCGTACGTCGTGCCCAGCTACGCCCACGCAATCGCCTCGGTCTTGCGTTTCTCTGCGGCTTGCTCCCGTCGCTTGGGTTGGCCGGAATTGACCGGCGCAGCGTCTTCTTCCCCGAGCCCGGCCGGAGCTCCGTCACCATCGACTCGACGTGGCCAGGCCGTCCCAGACCGTCTCCGTCTTCACCAAACGTACCGGCGTGACCGTGGTGAGCTACTGAACGCGATACTCACTTTGTTTTAGACTCTACTACGCCATTATCGGGGTTACGCTGTGAGCCGTCGTGCTCAAGCCGCCATGGCCGGCGGGGAGTCTTCTCCGGTGCACCTTCTGCCATTCAAAGGGCGGGGATGGATTCGTAGGAGTGTGTAGAGTACTTGGGTGCGGTCTGCCTCGCCGGAGCGTCACCGTCGGCGCATTTTGGGCCGGCCAGTGATGGCATCGCTGCCGTGACTGGTATGAGTCACTAACGAGTGGGGTCGGGCTGTCAGTGAGAAGGAAGAAGAAGAACAGTGAGGTTTTATTATTTTCTGATTTTGAATAGTGCTGAATTTTTAGAAATTTGTAGGAAAATAATCATAGCTCCAAAAATTCCGAAATTTTGTGTGTAGCCTCTGTACATGCTCTAGTATGGTTTAAAATTTTGAAACTTGAAATTTGAATAAATTTTTAATGTTCAAATATTCAGTCCATTAATTAATAAATGCAATTTTCATGATTTTTTTAGGCCACTGTATAATTCCAAAAATTATGAAATTTGTTTTGGTACACTAATTTGTCATGAGGAAGCTTACATAAAATTTTGAGGTCATTTGGGACAAGATCATTTTTGGGCTTATTTCCAAATTTAATTCAAAAATAAATAAAAGCAAACACTAAGTGTTTGATTAGTGTTTGATCTTGTTTTGATCATGTTTTGTGACCAGTAGGGTTTCAAGAGTAGTGGTTGGAGAGTTCACCGTAGTGGTCGGAGAATTCGCCATGGTGGTCGGAGAGTTCACCGCAGTGGTCGAAGAGTTCACCGTAGTGGTCGGAGAGTTCACCGTAGTGGTCGGAGAGTTCGTCGAAGTGGTCGGAGAGCTCGCCGAAGTGGTCGGTGTTGACGTGGTCACCTCCGTTACGAATATGGTTTGGTTAGTTTGGCTTGTAACTGTACCGTGAAGGAAAGTTGTATTCAAGGTGTTGTTATATTTCATGCACCATGAAAGCATCATGTTTACATTATCATCATGTTGAAGCATATGCTATTATTTCGTGTAGAATCCGAGAGTGAACCGATTCTAGTTGAGCAAGTTCTAGAAGAATCCCCGGTTGTCATGGGATTCGATAATAGTGGTGTTGATCTGGAACCTGAGATCGTCAACGAAGGCAAGCCCCGGTTTATGCATTAAACCATTACCTTGTTTACTTTGAAAATTTTATCACCTATGTTACCTATTGCATTAAGTTGATTAATTCAAATGTTACCTACTTGATGCATTGCCTACCTTGTTAATTGTTTACCATTCTTGAAGATGATTTCATTTACAAAGGCGTAGAATGCTTAGTATGCTTTATGGTAGGCTTTCAAAGTAAAAGTTTCGATACAATCAAAGATGGCATACTGGCAAAAGAAAGAAAGAAGATAGAATGAACTAGAGACTAGTCAGGTGACTTATCTTGAATGTTGGGTAATGTTGCCGACTATGTCGCTTAAAGGCCACTCATTGTGGATCTTCTGAACGAGACACTTTGTAGTACTGGTCACATACTCCAGTAAGCCTACTTCGGCTAATTCGATACTAAGACGAATGCCCACGCACTGGGAGTGGTGAGATGGCGGGAGTAGCGTGTACCCTCGTGGCTTGAAGGTGGCCGGATTTGAGGCGTGCTGTGCTCTCGGGTGGCGTGGAGACGGCTTAGTACGGGAGGATCCGGTAGCGAGGTTGATATATGCAAGATTAAGTTCTACATATGTCGTGTGATATGGAATCCCCAGCTAGAACTTGAATCAATTCGAATTGCCGGTGCTCAGCGGATATGGAGACTCGATTCATTACAGAAGCAATGTAGGACTGGTGAATTACTAAAACATGGGAAAAAGAATGGAATGAGAAGGATTGGAACATGGGATATGAACACTTAGTTGGAGATATTGAACTAAAGTACTTAGGGGTAAAACTTGAAACTAGGATCAAGAATAGTAAGCTTTTGGCAAAGAACTTTTGAATCTTTCTACATCCTTACCTTGACCCAACACCTGCATCCCTAAGACCTTCACCCTTTTTGGTCGGGCCAGTCTTGTTGAATACTTTTGTACTCAGGGTTTGTTAACCATTGTTGCAGGTGAGTCGCATGCGCAGACTTGTTTTGGTCCCTGCTGCATGTCAGTGTTTGAAGTCGATGACGATGAGGAATGATGAATGGCCTTTGGACAAGGCACTAGTTTGTGTGAAATAAATAATGTTAATGTAATATTATCCCGCTACTATGGTTGTATGACACTTATGGTTTTGTAAGTTTGAAACAACTGGTTTGTAATATCAAAACTTAAGTCCTCCGCTTTATAATCTCTGGTATGTATATTGAAAACTGTTGTAATCTGCAATGACTGTGATTGGGATCCTGTTTGGAAAAGATTCGTGGATGATTCAGGTTTCCCGAGAACACCCGACAGACCTATTAAGTTGTTGGGAACTTGTGTACTCTATCTGAGGTCTGTTGAGACATCAATAGGTGCACGTGGGCCCAATTTCTTAGGAGGTTCTGCCACAGCTAGTATCAGAGCAGGTCCTATCTAAGATCATTGTAGGTTGCTTTTGAAAACCTTCAAACTAATTTGGATCAAAGAAATTAAACTGGATATTTTGAGTTCAAATTTCTTTCTTCTTACCTCTGATCTAGCCTCAATCTTATCTTATTTGAAAGTTTGTGGCGGATAATATGATTAGGTTTGTCCTTTGTATTAAAAATCTAGTACTTTTGATTGTAAAA